ATTTTTCTGCCTCAGCCTTCATAGTAGCTGGGATTACAGGTGCACACCACCACGCCTGGCTAATTTTTTGTATTTTTAGTAGAGACGGGGTTTTACTATTGCCAGGTTGGCCTTGAACTCCTGACCTCATGATCCACCTGCCTCAGCCTCCAGAAGTATTGGGATTACAGGTGTGAGCCACCATGCCGTCGCCTGTGCTTATTTCTTTATGATGACATCACTTATGGGGCCCTTATCACTGATGAGGCGTCTGCCTTGGTCTTCATGAGCCAACCCACCTTTAGTGTACCTGCCATTGTCCCTGAGGAGGAAACGGAGGCAAGCTGTGGCCCCGTGGAGGGGACTGAGCCACACTCGACTATGCTGTGGCCCCGAGTAGGATGGCTGGCTGAAGGTGAGGGAGGGGTAAACGGTGCCTTGCAGTGGCTGAGGCAGCCTCCAGCACCACTAGCCCCAGACAGCCCCACCTGCAAGGAGGCAGCCTCAGGCAGAAGGTGCCCTGGGCAGTGCTAACCCCAGTGCAGCATCAGCACCTGTGGGTCATATGGGAACGGGCTTCTCTGGCCCTTCCAGTTCTTCGGGTCAGACCCTGGGAACAGGGCCAGGGCTGGCGGCCCCTCCCTGCCGTGGGCTGCTGTGGCCGAGTGCAGCCTCGTGGAGGGGCATGCTGGGGGCCACGTGGCTGCAGCAAGGTGACACGATTCCAGGGTGGGGCCTGGTCCTTCCATTCACAGCTTCGTCTCTGGGCTCATGCATCCCTTGCCTGGCCAGCACAGAACTGGCTTCCACAGACCTGTAGCCTTGCCTCTGGGGCACCCAGGTTGCATGCCCATGCCAGGCTGACCAGCCTGAGTCCACTCTGCTGCTGAGACCACGCAGCTGGTGACATGGCCCCCAGGAGCCCAGACTCTGCGCCCCGTTCAGGACAGCCTCTGCTTCCCCGACCTGGGCTCTGGGCTGTCTTCTGCCCACTTCCCAGGTAAGGATTTAACCGCCTCCAGGAGCAGGAGGAGAGGAAGCTCCTGTGGACACAGACAGATGGGCCCACCCTATCTCTGAGGCAGCTCCGGGAGTGGCCTACTTTTCAGGAGTGTGACCTGCACGCGGATTCAGCACCCTGCCTCAGTGTTAGGCGCTCTAAGACAGATGTGTGGCAGCAGGAAGCTGACACCCGTGGCTGACGTGTCCACCCCGGGGAGAGGGCGTAGGGCTGCCAGGACCTCTCTGTGCACACTGACTCTGCTGAGAGTGGGAGTGACCCCACCCCACCCCCCGTTTCTGTGGGCGGGGAGGTGGCTGCGTCCCTTGCACTCTGCTGAGCCCTGGGTGGCTGCAGGTCCCTGCAGGAGCCTCCATGCGTGGGGGTGGGGCAGGGCAGTTATTTTCAGATGGTGCCAGAGGATAGAGTTTCAGATTTGTTTACGCCTGTAGGAAGAACTTTGGAGCTAGGGGTGGGGTGCCCAGCTCAGCACTGACATTCAGGACACCTGGCCAAGAGGCGCCTCAGATTTCCCTGTCCTGCTGTGGGGGGTTCACTCTGCAGCCCCAGACAAGGAGGGGACGGTAGCCTTTTCCAGGAAATCCGGGGGGGTGCAGCCACACAGTGGTCCTCTGGGTGGTCCTCTGCAGGCCGAGTGTGCCAGCCCACACACAGAAGGGGGCAGTTCACACGGAGGGCTGGCCTGAGGATTGTCTGGGCCACACCAAGCAAAGCCAGCGCTATTAATATCTGGCACGCACTAGCCCTCAGCTGTGTGATCCTCTTAGACCCGTGGCCTTGGACGGCAGTGAGCACAGTTCTGTCAGTACGGTGGGGGCTCCAGGGCCTCCTAGCTGCTGTGCCTCTGCTGACATTTGGCAGCTTCTGCCAGCGAAGCGTCTTAGCCCTCTGGCTCTCCAACCACTGTGCTGCCCATAGGACTAGTCCTGCCCATGGAAGGGCAGTTTGGGTGGCCAGAGCTCCTGAGTTGCCCTAGGGGACCGCTGTGGGTCTGAGGTGCTGATGTCCCCTGTGACTGCCTGCACCTGAGCCCCACGTACCCCCGGGGCCGCTCGCAGTCCAGGAGTACCCACCCGTGTTCTCCGTCATGAACAGCCCCCCAGCTTACCCTGGCATCAGGATTTCAGGGTGCCGGGCCCTTGGAGCAGAAGGCAGGTGAGTCTGGGCAGGAGGTCTCTGCTGTGAGGGGTGGCCACCTGTGCTGTGGTCCTGGCCACTCAGACCTGTCTTCGGTGCATGTCTGTGGACATCGGACATCAGGAATCAATCAGGCTGGCAGGTGCTCTTGGGCACCGGGCAGAGCCTGGGGTTGAAGGCGCGGTTTTGCATGGGGCCGCTGTTCTGGGTGTGCCTCTCGTGTTGGTTACGGCTCTGAACCCTCTGGTTTGGAATTAACCTTCTGATGTCATGGCCAGAAGCACCCTTTTCCACAGGAAATGAGGTTTGCTGTGGAACTTTCTCCTGTCCGATATTTATTTGTTAATTTATTTTGAATATTCTAAAGTCTCCCCACGTTGCCCAGGCTGGTCATGAACTCTTGGCCTCAAGCCGTCCTGCCACCCCAGCCTCCCAAGGGCTATGCCAGGCATGAGCCAGCACACCTGGCCAACATTCCCCTCAAGGGGTGCTTCTTTTTTTGTTTTTTTTT